ATTTCAGTGAGTTTGAGAATTGTATACACCTTATAACTACCACCTAAAACAATAAATAGAACATTTCCATGATCCTAGAAAATCCCTTTGTGCCCCCTCCCAGTCAAACCCTTCTTCCCAGAGGAAACCACATTTTTACTTCCATCACCGTAATTTAGTTTTTTCTGTTCCCGAATTTCATATAAATAGAATTATATTTGGGGGGAAGGGTCTGGTTTTTACTGCTCACCATAAGGTTTTAAAGCTCCGTTAATATTGTTGTGCTATCAGTCGTAATTCCTTTTTATTGCAGAGTGATGCTCCTTTGTACGGATGTCCCATAATCGTTCACACATTCTCCTGTTGATAGACACTTTTACAAACATTTTTGTATGCGTCATTTGTGGGCCTATGTTTTCAGTTCTCTTTGCTAAATACCCATGGGTTTACCTGCTGAGCCATCACAAATCTCCAAAGTGGCTGTGACATTTTATGATCCCACCAGCACTGCGTGAAAGGTCCGGTTGCTCCACATATTTGACAATGAACAATAGCTTGTTCTTAGATCTTCTAGCGGGGAGGAATGGCATCTGAATGTGGATTTAATTTTCATCTCCCTAGTGACTCATGCTATTTAGTCTATCTTATATACTTGTCTTAGTCTGTTTGGGCTGCTGTGACAAAATACCATAGATTCCGTGGCTTATAAACAACAGAAGATTTATTTCTCACAGTCCTGGAGGTTGAGAAATCCAAGATCAAGTTGCCAGCAGATTCAGTGTCCAGTGAGGGCCTGCTTCCTGGTTTATAGATAGCCACCTTCCCACTGTGTCCTCACCTGGCAGAAGGGGCAAGCTCTCTGGGCCCTCTTTTAAAAGGGCACTATTCCCATTGCCCAATCACCTCTTAACAGCCCCACTCCAAATGACATTACATTGGGGTTAGGTTCTGTCATAAATTTGTTTAATATAGTTGCTGCCTTGGCATCCATTTATAGGCCTGACACAAGTTGTACTCCATCACCTTTGGTCTAGTTGAAACTTCCCCTCCCTGTGTGGTTGTTCCTCATTCCACTGACCCAAAACCCAATGCATCCCACAGCTGCTGACTTCCCCCTCTGTGCACCCCCCGTCCTCTCTCTCTCACTCCTCACCTGCTGGTTGAGCTCCCTACTGCCTCCAAACTTCCTCCCTGCCTCCCGTTGGCACCCCTAACCTCTCTAGGACTTATGAGTAACAAATTCATTCTATTTTATACATTTTTGGTTTCACTTCTTCATTATGTCTAAGCTGACCCATACACCTAAACTTAACTTCCCCCCAGTCGAGGCTCTCCTAGACAGGGGCTGTTTTGGCTTACCACCACTCCCAAGAGAGAGACCTCAAAACCAAATTAGAAAGAAACCATAACAAATTAAAATCACAACAGGTTCCAATATATGAATTTTGGGGGGCACATTCAGTCTGTATGAGTACTTATTGATCATTTCATTTATTTGTATTTTATTATTGTGCAGTCCTTTTATTGTTCATTTGTGGGAGTTCTTTATATATTCCGGAAATAATAATTTTCTAGCTGTGTCTTCTTGGAATATTTTTTTAGACCTTGGATTGTTTATTGATTTTCTTAATACTGTCTTTTGATTTTCTTAATACTGTCTTTTAAAATTTTACTCATGTCCTACCTATTTATCAATCTTCCCCTTTTTTTTTTTACATTTACCAATTTATTATAAAGGATATTTTAAAGGATACAAATAAACAGCCAGATGAAGAGATACATAGGGTAAGGTCTGGAAGGGTCCCAAGTGCAGGTGCTTCTGTTCCCCTGGAGTTCACCCCCTCTCCCGCACATGGGTAAGTGTCGTTCACCTTCCTGTAAGCCTCCACATGTTCAGCTACCTGGAAACTCTCCAAACCCTGTCCTTTTGGGGTTTTGTGGAGGCTTCATTACATAAGCATGATGGATTAAACCATTGGCCATTGATGATCAACTTAACTTTTAGCCTCACTCCCTCCTCAGAAGTTAGGGGTGGGTTGAAAGTCCCAAACTTCTAATGTCTACAGTTTCTTGTTAGAACTGAAAGTTTATTCTAGGGTCTGAAGTTCGGCCAGTGTTCAAGTGGGAGGTCCTAATTTTTCTATGTAGTGCTACCACGGTTCAAATTTGGAATTCAAAAAGGTGGGATTAGATTATCCGGTTGACTCCCTAATCAATAAGAGATAATATATAGCTTTCTTACTCTTTAAACACACAGACAGATATGGGTCTTTCTTGTGAGAAGCATCCACGATCTTTGCATTCAGATCTTTCTTGCTTTACAGAGAAATATATAAGAATATTGAAACATTTTGGTTTAAACTAGTATGTTGTTTAAAGGGTTGAGATGTGTCAAAATCCTGGCCTCCTTTCTTCTGTTTCAGATGAATTACCAGAGAACCCAAAGCCCAATCCCAGGTGAGTGACCACACCACATCGTTGGGGTTTAAAGGTCTAGGTGATAGCAGAGGAGACTGAACCGCAAGACCCCTTTCCTGACTGGCCTTCCTCTCACCTACTGTGTAGTGAGGACAGGGGAGGAGATGCCCCTCAGTGTCCTTTCTCTTCAGAGTCCTTTTAAAGCAGTGTTTCCTGAGCAGCTTCATAGAATGAAGTGTTGATGGGGAGATGGGTTGAACTTTCTGCACCAGGGACCAAGGAGAGGCAAAGACTATCTTTTGTTGTGGAGACCTATGCAGGAAAATAAAGACCACATTCTGTGTCTGTCATTTGGTTCATAAATGGTTCCACAAAGAGCACAAGATCCCTGGAGATTTTAAACAGTTAAATAGGTAAAGCATCTTGGTAGAGATTAATCCCATGTCAGGGTTTTCCTGGAAATGTATCCTATGAGAGGTACACTTATGCGTTGTTCAATAACAGGCGTATGTTCTCAGAAATGCATCATCACTATGTGAACATCACAGGGTGTACTTACACAAACCTGGATGGTACAGCCTACTACACACCTAGGCTATATAATACAGCCTATGCCTCCTAGGCTACAAATCTGTACAGTATGTTACTGTACCGAATACTGTAGGCAATTGTAACCCAATGATAATTGTGCATCTAAACAGAAAAAAAGGTACAGTAAAAATACCGTATTATAATCTTATGGGACCACTGTCATACATGGAGCCCATTTGTTGGCCAAAACGTCGTTATACAGCACATGAGTCCGAAGCAAAAAGAAGCCTTCCTGGCTGAGCACCAGCCCCTCTGAAGATCAAAACTTGGGTTCTCTTTAACACTGACATCACCCTATACTGCCTGCAGAGTGATTCACAGCCTCCTAGGTTTCCAGGAGTGAGACCTGAGATTGGTTATTTTCTTATGGAAACAGTAAACACTGCCTAGGGAGAGAATGTAACTCTCCCCTCCTAAGGCTGCTCATCGTCAGTGTCCCCAAGCCCTCAGGGTTTGTGCTCAGCTCCCCCTGCAGTCCCTCTCACTGTGTCGCTCAGAGCGCAGTAGTACACAGCCGAGTCTGACATGCGGAGTGAGGATTTCTCCAGGTGGAAGGATTTATCGCTCTTAACAAGATTGGCCTGAAAACCTCGATTCTCACCCCTCTGGTTTTCTGTTGAGCTCTTCAGGAGTAGTTGAGGAGATTGATTGAGATATTGGACATACCAGAAAAGGTAAGAAACTGAGTAAGTGGTCTCGTAAGTGCAGTTCAGGATCACAGGTGCCCCCTCTGGGAGAGTAACCGTGCCTTCCGTCTGGGTCACCGAGTCTCCATTGCTCCTCCCTAAAAAAAAATAAAATAAAAAATAAATTACTTGTTATAGGGATAAGAAGACTAAAGGTTATCATTATTATAGGAAAATGAAATATCATTAAGGCTTAAGATAAAATGTTACTTACTAAATATTAAGATCACAAGAACTGAGCAGGTGACAGAAAGCATGTTGGTAGAAGGAAATGATCCTTACTCCTTGCAGTACATCAAATATTGTAGGGCTAGTCTCCAGTGAGATCTTATAGAAACTCCTCAGTCATAAGCTAAGAGCCCCTTTCTGTACAACAGTCTGTCTTGTGACTTCAAAGAAAATACGCAGGTCAAACCACCACCTGAATGCAGATGCAAACCGCATCTGAGAAAGCAGCGCCCTCTCCTGGTTTTCCTGAAAATTGCACCACAGCCATGTCTGACCATTTTTAATAGAAATATAATAAAATAGCTTGAGGGGAAGGTAGAATGGAGTAGCACTCTAAGAAGAAAGCACTCAACATTCACTTTATAGACACACAAACTATACTTCGGGCAATATTCAGTTATTACTTGCATCATTTTCTCCATGGTGCAGAGATCTATAACTTCCCAAACAGTCCCAGGCACAACTTTTAAGTAGAATAGTCTGAGACCTCTTCCTTGCATATGTCCCTATGGTTTCCATGGCTCAGAGAAGGCTCCAACTGCCTAGAAATTTCTCTTTACTCTTCTTCAGTCCTTTGCCTGAATTAGTTCTATTCATCCCGCGAGACACAATCAGCATGCCATCTCATAGAGGAAATATTATCTAATGCAGTTCTCAAATAATCTGTGATGAAGGACCAATGTTTTTACCAATCCATCATGGACTACTACACTTCTGGTTAGTTTGTGGGGTTTTTGTTTGTTTTTTTTAATTTCAAAATATTAATTAAGGGGGTACAAATGTTTTTGTTACATGGACATCTTGTATGATGCTTAAGTCAGGGCTTTGGGTAAGTTTTTATCCCACAGCCTCTCTCCTGCCCTCCCCCATTCTTGGTTTCTCATGTCCTTTATATCACTGACATAACAAAATTCAGCGTGCAACAATGTAAAGTACACAACATCTAGCACCTAATCAAAATTATCAGGCACGTGA